GGGGGGGGGGGGGGGGGGGGGGGGGGGGTTGGGGGCGTGAAAATGATTCACTTCTACAGGGCCTCACCAGTGTGTAACAGAAAAGAGAATGAAAAGAAGAAACCAGGAAAAATCACTGATCCGGGATCAGCTGTGGAGCACCTCGAAGCCCATTTCACATTAAACGCGGCTTCCTGTAAGAAATTTGCTGCTGAAAACTATGTGGACCAGGCAGCCACCAGAGCAACAACCTCGTTTTCAATTATACGAGGGAAGGTGGCCAACCGTTCAAATGACTTTTTTGTCTGATAAACAATCAAACACCTTCCATTTCCCCCCCCAGAGGGCCAACAACTGGATTCCTACATGTACTAATTTTTTCACTGCCAAAAGTTTTTGTGTCCCTGTACAGCAATCCTGCTGCCTTAAATATTCACTGCACATTCTGAGCTTGTATGACAAGGTACTTATTCAGTTTTGCTAGGTTGAGGGTATTACTGTACATCAATGACAAAAATCACTGCACAAAAACCTGTCTTTTAAACAAGTGGAAAACACTGGCAGATACTAGTAAATGCATGTTCACTGAAACACACGATATTCCAGCAGTATTCTTTGCTGAATCATTTGCCTGGAGAAATGTATCCTTAGATGTGCAGTGGCATCACACTGAACGTGTAGTGCAGTGGCATTTGGTGTGGAGGGACAAGAGGGGAAAAGGGGTCAATCCTATCATTAGCCAATGATGTGTTTTGTATCAGTGAGTGGGAGGGGCACTCCACAGGCCAATCAGCTTTCAGCCAATAACCCCGCCCCCTGTAAACACCACTCTCCTGGGTATAACGGAACCGTCACTGAGCCGACTCAGGCAAAAAAAAATACAGCGGCCATTTAGAGCTCAGAAAACAAACTGTATTGTTACTCTCAGTGTACTATTTCCATGCAGACATTTGATTTCAAGCAGCTCTAATACTAGTTCTTTTGGGTCGAGGAAACATCTTTGCTACCTGTTTATGACAACTTGGTATGTTATAAGATGGACTTTTAAGGCAGTCATAGAATATCCCAATATAGAGTTTAAACAAAATTATGAGCATGTTCCATAGATAATTTTAAAATATGCATGCTCTCTGTCTGAGATAATTTGCTTTATCCTGTTCTGAGACAAGTTCTGTAATTAGTTTTGAAAAACAGGTTTTGTAGTATTAAAATCGGTTTCACAATTGTTAACAGGAACTAATCAGTGAGGCAGAACAACCATTTCAGACAACATACACGCCATGTACAATTCGGCGATGTGAACTGCAGTTCAAAACTAAGTCGCATTTTTAAATCGACGGCCACAGTAATGTGCCTGAATTCAGCCTAGACCTGCGCATAACCAGCCAACGCAAGCGGGAAGTTAGTCACCGCACACAGAGTCTGGAGGAGCAGTTTAACCGAAAGCTAAACGGCAGTTTCTAAAATGCAGAGTCTCGGCCGTGTCCCAGAACAGCCGGAAATAAGCCAACGCCGTCGGCAGCAGAAAGAAAAGCGCGATTTAGGACCGAAGGTCCAATTACACACCGGAGAGTGACATTAGCGCGGCGGAAGATTAATGAAGGCGCGTGGTGGTGACCGAAGGCAGATGAGACACGCGGCGCTTCGTGATGCGTTTCCATGGCAACCCAGGACTTAATGTCAGCGCTGGGCTTTTAATTGGCTCGGAAGCAGAAAATGTTCATGTTACCAAGAACAAGCAAAAGTTTAAAGGCTTTAGTTCCCGGTGCTGTCAGGTCTTTCTGGCTAAGCTACGGGGTTAATTATTAAGAGGCTCTGCGAAGATGGAACACAGATTAAAAGCTAAGTTTAAAACCTACACCACTATGTCCAAACAAGATAAGTCTGCTATACTGGAAGTGACCATAAAACCATGAATTAAATTTGACACATTTGTCAGTCGAGTAGCTAATTCAAGAATAAGAACAGTATGTCACAATGCAACGTTTCAGGAAATATTACACAAAGCTGTTCATAATTAAAGATACATCAGAATTAATATACTGGAGCAAAACATTTGCTTAATTGGAGTTAGACAGAATTTGCATACTGGACCATCAATCAGTTTAAAATGATTTGCATAAAAGATGCCGTACCTTCGTTTTGCCGCAGACAGGACAGGCAGCGAAGAGCGGTCTTGCCATCCCAGACTGGAGGCTGAATGTCTCGTGCGATTCCAAGAGGCTGGCAGCAGGGGGCACCACCTCGCCGGCCCGCAAGTCCAAAGTCGGTCCATGTTTCTGTGGCGCCGGCAACTTCAACGCCGAGTCCATGGAAACCTGAGCCAGCTCTCCCAGCTCTGGGCCGGACTGTACGGCCGGTCGCCTGCTCACGCTCGGATCTGCCCCCCCCCCCCCAGCATCCGGGGCCAGGGGGGCCAGCTGGTCCCTGGGTGGTGCACACTGGCGCAGGTTCCTTGGTGTGTCGTAGAGAGGCCGGAGAGAACTGGGGACCTGGTATTCAGCGGCTGGGCACGTGCAGACATTCCGCTCAGGCAGGCTGAGCAGAGAGCCGAACTCATCTCCCTGGCCGATGTCCAGACTTCCAGTGTAGGACGAGAAGCTTCCGGAATACGACGAGTGGCTCCCGGTGGCAATGCCGCTATCCGACGAGCTCTGGCGGCCAATTTCCTGCAGCCCCCGGCTGCGGGTAGGCTTGGACAGGACTCGTGTTGCCGTGGTGATGGCGGCACCCAGGCCCTCTTCGGTATGCAGGGGGCCCCTGCCTTGGGCCTGGACCAGGGGCTCCACGGCACCGGATGCCCTGGGCCCCGGCTCCGCCCACAGGGTCAGGCGGCTTCCCAGGCTGGTGTCAGAGTGGCTGGTCTCTGAGGAGGAGCTGGATATGCTGCGCTCATCACTCGCCACAGACGCGCCGTAGCTGCAGGTGGACACTGCCGAGGACACGACACTGGTTTTAGCCAACTGGACGCAGAGGAGCGGCTACACGACCCGCGCAAGGACGGGGGGCGGTACCTGCGCTGCTCTGGCGACTGCAGTGGGAGAGGAGGCTCAGTCGCTTCTCCAGCTCCTGCGCCTCCTGCCTCACACGCTCCTCCATGGAAGCTGGACTTGCGTTGGGGTCTGAAACACAACGTTTAGCCAGTGTCCACAGGAAGTGACATCAGTGCAGTTGAGTAATCATCACTTAGACCCGAGTCCAGTGGAAAACCAAACAATAAAGGTGATGATACACAGGGCAACTTTTTGAGCGATGTTGCCGGTGCAGCTGCCAACCAGGTGAGACAAGGGGCAACTCATCCGGATCAGGATGATCACGAAAAGTTGCCCAGTGAGATTTTTTGCCCGATAAGTGCCCGAGCGCCATTAATCAGCAACACTGCCTGGCAGCATTACTCAAAAAGTTCCCCGTGTATCAACACCCTAAGACTCCATTTTGGAGCAGTAGGTGTTATTACACGACCAGAATGGGAAGTGACATAGTGACCCATCAACGTCCTTGGGACAAAGGATGGGAGTATGCAAGACAGACAACGAAGATGGACAGAGGAAGTGTACGAACCCCATCGGAAAAGCAGCACAGATCCCACGGACTGCTAAAGTGCATCCAGAATGCATGGAGATGCAGTACAGCCTGGCTAACCCTAGTGTGGAGATGTCCTTGATTGTTTAGCTGTTGTTGGATGCCTCTTCAAATGCATCATCAGACCAAAAACATCTTCTGGGTGCAGCTAAGTAGAGATAGACCAAGGGGCCCAAGCCCAATGTCAAAGGAGACGCTACTTGCCCGTCAGAGGCTACAGCTAAACATGAACGGGATTCTCCGTGTTCCAGAGATGGCTGTGGACCAGCAGTTGCTAATGACGGGATACCAGCTCCCATTTTTTGCGAGTGGTACATCCAGCCTGAATAAAGACGTGCGAGTCATCAGGATGAGGGGGGGTGTTGGGATGCCATGGTGAGGTCACACGCATTCCAACAGCAATTGTCGGCGTTTGATGGGTGGCGTCACCCACCGCGACTTGTGGTCCGACGCTCCTTCCAGCCATTTCTCCTCCTCTTTACCCCGCGAGGCGGTTTAATAATAGTCCCTGATCTAAGCCGGGACGAATCCCGCGAGTAGGTGGTGACAGACCCACTCAGTCCCCTTATTCATCATTAGGAAACCTTTCCAGCTTCGGGGAAGATTAGAGGGGATGGAAACGCTCACACCAGATGGAGTGCTGCAGCCAAAATTCCTCTGTGATCGGAAGGAAAGAAAATTCAAGGACTAGCTATTAACAACGATCCCTGTCATGCTGCACGTGTCTGCAACCGTGACAATGATTGACGGTTCGACATCCTTAAATCTCGTTCAGAGGCTTCACCGCAATTGTAACGACATTAAATATTTTAGGAAAAATGCAATATTCATTAAATTTAAAATTGCGACACTTTTTAAAAAAAAATTAGCTACTAATCTAATGAGTTATAAGCACTTGTCAGAAGCCACACTGGACCAATGAAGCTAAGAACCTAACAGCCAAGGAAGATGTCTGAAAGTCGTGGAGTCTAACAACAGGGACCCTCTTCGAAAACGGCAGAATGTATTTTTCCCAAAATTTATGTAAAACCAAAGACTCTGTAGCAACCGATAAAAAGATATATTAACAACAAGCGCCCGTCTGGCAGAGCCTCTCCGAAAGTACCGTGCCGTATCAATATCCCGCCGGCTAAATTAGCAACGCGTCATTCTCGGCACTGGGTTTGCGGCCCCCCCCTTGAATTTATAGCTTCCAGGTTCTGGTTTCACATTCCGACACCGGCACCATTGGCTTAAGTGCCGGGCTTTTTTATTTTTTAGCGCAAAACAAAATAACGGAAAAAAAAATAAACGGTCAATCCGACACATGATCTGGCAGGGGGTGCCTGTCATACCCGCACGTCCATCGCTCGGATCACCGGTGTCACTTGAGGTATCAAACCCTGATGCTAATTTTAGCACCTTTACTGCAATGAATGTCTCAGTTTTAGAAGGGTGGTAGGAGTAGTAGGGTTTTAATAGGGGTTTATAACTTATATGCATTACAAAAAGGCCCAACTCTCGATGTTGGGCTACACAAAATTAGTCTAGTTGACTATCTAGGCAAATCTAAATCATTAAACCCACTATAAATACATAATAGCTATCACACCGTCAGCAGATGTTAACCAAATTATTAAATCAAATTATTCTCTTCAGCTTCGCTGTTGCATTAGATAACTCCACTATAATTTTTAGTCGCAAGAATACCCAATAGATATTTCCCGTTCATGTTTTCAGGGGTTACCCATGATGCACTGCGGCATTTGCCCGGGCAGGACGCTTCAAGGTCGCAGGGGGGCGCTCCCCACAGCATTCCTGAATGGATCCACTTTCCCCAGAACCATAATCTCACCGTGCGACCCACTTCCTGGAAAAGCCAATTAAACGGCGACGAACTGCGCAAGGGGGCAATTCGAGATAAACCCCCTCCCTGCACACTCACTGGCCCCCCCTGTCCCCTGAGAGATGCCAAGCCAGAGATGCGGGGATTTAGTGATCCACCCATTGGTGTGAGGCCCAGACCGAGAACACCGACGGGAACAAGAAAGACCCGCATTGTGGAGTGCGGCACCACGTACGAGAGCCCTGTTAGCAGGCAGCTGCGTTTCCACTGTGATGTTTTGTCTGGGGTCTGCCCTGGGCAAGCGCGACGGCCTCGGCGAATCAGAAAGCCCATGGATCTCTTTACCCGAGCGCCGAAGGAGCTGAGGCAGGCCAGCCTCACTTGAACCCACGGAAAGCAACACTCGGCGGGTGGTGGGAACAGACCCAGCTCTACAGGAGGGGCCAAGGGTGCAAAACAGCCCGGAAATAATAACGTGGCCCCTCAGGGGAAGGTACATCGGTCCAGGACTGAACCATGGATCATGCCTCCTGATAGATTTCAGATTTTTTTGTGGACCCGGCACTGGGTGGGGTCACTGCCAGGTCAACTAGGCATAAGTGCTTCGCAGGCGATACTGAGCTCACAGGTCACTCAGCAGCGCCCTCTGCAGGGCAGGAGGTGCAGGACACCGGCGTCCCTGTGGGTTCTGTGGGTTGAATGGGACGGGATGTGGAAAAGGCCCCCAAGTGCCATTCCAGGAGGAGCTCAGCTACCCCCCCCCCCCATCCCGAGGCCTTGGATCTGTAACCCGAACGCAGGAGGGTGGGGCGCCAGACAGGGTGTGGTTTTGGGCCAGCACTCGGTGCTTGTGATATTAACCTGGCAGGACTGGCCTGAGCCCAAACGGGCCGCGGGTCGGCGAGACGCCCCGGACGATGCAGTCGAACAGAAAGCTGATCTGCTCGCCCTCCAGGCAGGACAGGAAGAAGACGCCAGCCCCTGTGGGAGGAGAGGGGGGAGGGAGAGAGTGTCAATGACGCCGCAGATCCAGCACTGTGTCCCTAGGGCTGCCATTCGGGGGGGGGGGTCACTTCCCAAAGGGACTCCCATGACTTTGTGGGGCTTAGCATTTTCGACAGTCTCGGGGCCAGATTGTGGATCAGTGACATTGATGAGTAAGTAGGGGCACGACTCAGGGGCCCCGGCACTTGACAGGGGCCCTTGGATATGAAAAACTGAGCAGGATGGGGGGCCCAAGGTAACAGCTGGGGAGTGACGACACATGACAGTCCCACAGGACAGGACAGGGCAGCGGTCCGTCGCAGGGCAGAGTCACTACAGTCACCCGGCACTGTCACAAAAGAGGGGACCTTAAAGTCAAGGAAAAGAAAGGAGAATGATAATGTCTCTCTCTCACACACACACATACACACACATGTTAGTAATTATATCTTTGTGGGGACTCTCCATTCATTTCTATGGGAACGAATGCTAACGCTAACTATGACGTTAACCCCTACTCAGCCCTAACCTTAACCATAAGTAACCAAACCAAATACAAGAGCTTTTGCATATTTAGTTTTTTCATTGCAGTCACGGGAGTTTTCCCATATGGTCCCCACAAGGTAAGGTATACCTGGACCACATACACACACACACACACACACAGCTGGACCCAGACTTTAACCAGCAACCCCACAGCCATGAAGCAGCAACAGCAATTCTCACTGAAGCTTAATTCAGCCTCTCATCATCACACACTGGCCACATATGTGTATGTGTGGACGCAGGTGAGCTGACACAGCCATCCAATCAAAAGGTACTGGGGGGGGGGGAGTGTACAGGAGTGTTACATTAAGACTATTCTACAGCTAAATCACAGCCCCACGTGGTGATCAGAAAGAAAACCACATTGTATGGGTCAGTTAGAAAAATATAGCAAAGTCACGCTAATCATTAGCTCCCATCCCGGGATGCCAGGACATAATTTATCACGGTATAATAAAAAAAAATACGACAGTTGAGAAGCACTGGCAGCATATTTGGCCGACTGAAGGCGTGTGGCAGAGCTATCAGAACGGGGTCCGCCTGCTGCCCACCCTTGGATGCGACCCAGCGGGGCTGTCATGCCAGGCGGCCGCGGTCCGATCGCGCCGACAGCAGCGCAGCACTCCTCTCACACTGGGGGTAAGAATCATACGCCATTATGGCGGCGAGCAGGAACCAGAGAGAAGGACACGTCCTCCCCCGGCGACCCGAGCCACCCTCACGGACGGATGACCCTTGCAGAGCATATATTTTTATTACTCTCAAGTTTTTATTGCCCTCCATGGAGACCGTAGAATTTGCCCCATCCAATTGCTTCTTGGATATGCAGCCATAATCGCAGTGAGGGCCAAGCCCCCCCTCCTCCCCCAATCCGCCCCAACCACTCAGTCCAGGTCAAACGCACTTAAACGGACACAAGCACCACTGATCAAGGAGGAATGATCTTATTGACCTCTAACAGACCGTTACATAACTGCTTAACTGATGCCAGCTTTCAGCGTTAATCGGATTAACCTGTGTTTTGGCGAGGAAGGTTTGCGTGTGCCACGGTTGACGTTAACCAGCTCTCATGCCCTAGCGTGTTTGAGTTCACATGTACATGTAACCGCTATCGTGACTGTGTCACACTGTCAAAGAACCTTTCATCTGCGGCACACGAGTGGTACAACTCATCTAAGAAATGGGCCTTACTTAGAAACTCCTGTTCTGATGTACAGCCTGGAAGTTGCAAAGGGAGAAGACGTGGCGGAAAGAAAGAAAGAGAGAGAAAGAGAGAGAAAGAAAGAGCAACAGTCTAAAAAGAACCTACAAAGAAAAAGACCGTAATTTCAGCACACACAGAATCAGATTCCAAGCACAGGCTCCATGCACAGCTAGTCTTCTGGTCCGGGTTACTGCCCAAATATGACATTCAGTACCGGGGGGGTTGTGTGTGTGATCACATGACCGCAGTGACAGACACCAGCCCCATCCTGCCCTGCCACCCAGGGGGCAAACAGCTTTGCTATATCGAATGCTACTGTCAACAGACTATGGAGTTATAAGGTGAATACACTTGTTTAATAACAGCGTCGGGCCCAATTAAAAAGCTGTCTTTGTGGGAGTTACTCGGCCGCGACGGCCCGTAATGTGGATTCCGCAGTTTCCATGCATTCTCAGAGAACGTCACCCCGCTTCTTGCCAAAAGACCACCCAGGCAGACCACTGCCACCCCTCCTGACCCATATCCACAGGGGGGGTGTGAGAAATTCTGGAAGCCACCCGGGATCAGGTGGACGCAGGGGTGACTAAGCCCCCCCCCACACACACTACTATATGTGTTATAGTCGCAGCAGTCGTGACGGCTGGGTGGAGGTGGCTGACCTTCAGAACAACCACGGGGCAGAGGACCTTTCTGCCCACCGCCCCCCCACCGCCCCAAGAGCCACCTCACTTAAAGAGGCGTCAGCCAGGAGCTGGAGCCGCCCCCCAGCAGCCAGCCACCTGCTGTCCCCCCAGGATTGGCGTGGAAGCCACCGTGTTATTCTTACACCGCATACCCCAGTCACAGACCCCTAACCTGGCCTTTCAGGCACCTGTGACCACCCACAGCCTTTAACGGTGGCCCCGAGGCATGCTGGGTATCCGCCTTCCACCCTGAACCTGAACGTCGTCACTCCTTGCTATATGCACACGTCAACGCTAACAATAATTGGTAAGTGGATTAGAGAAGGGCTATAAAATAATCACTGAAGCCTGATAGGCCAAAAGTAGGGTAAAAGAAACCAAAACATGCCCACCATTGGCTCACGGCGAAGGGGCCTTCAGTTTGCACTGCATGGCATATCTACCTTTTGCGAAATATTTGAAGAGGGGAGGCTAATAGCTATTCTCAGCACACGCGGCGAGAATGCGCCTCGCATGTTTGTAGAGTATATTCCTGAATTATGAAATGCAATCCCAGTGGCCTGGAAGTTATTTCTGTAGGGTCTATGTTCCTCTGCAATCACATGCTACATTAAAGATAGACGGGGAGATTATTTGGCTCCGTTTTACATGATAAAATAAGACAGGGAGGATTTGGGCTGCCAATCATTGTGAAGGGGAAAAAAACACACACAAACGTAAGTCAGGCGGTGGGGAAAGGCCACCATCATCAATCAAAAGTGAGACGTTTCGCAACGTTCCGGCCCAAACGTACGGAAAACAGACCGAAAAGTTATAGTCATAGTGAGCCAACCCGTGGGCCCAGACCAGAACCACGCGTGCCGTGTGCATCCCCCGGCCTGCCGACGGGACAGAGCACCCCGTCAGGCTCGTAAATGGGACACGTTTCTCGGGGGGTACGATTCCAGAATAGCGCGCCGATTAGCATAACTTAGCACTGGGAGCAATGAGACGTGGGGCCCATCCACTGATCGCCGGCCTGTCAATCACCGTTTAGCCAAACGCCGAGGGCTCCAGCACGAGTCGTAAAGCGATTACCGACTTCCGAGGCCTCGTTTCACACTGCCGAGAATGAGCCCAGCATCTGAGCACCAGGACACATTTCCATATCGATAAATTAACGATAGCATGTCTGGCAATAAGGAGCTACATCTACAGTAACTGTATCTCGTGATATTTCTTAGTATTGGGTCTCGCTATGGAATTGAAGCGTTTCACGTTTAATTAGTTCTGAGATTCGGAAAACAACTCAGCGCATCTGCTTAATTAAAACTGTTTTTGCATAGTATTTCTCAGACCGAGAGAAGAGAGAATTCACCTCGAAAAACTGCCTGCCTGCCTAGACCAACAGTACCCCAGAGTACAGGCCTGTGCCCAAAACGTTAATATTTAAAAGGAAATACCTAGGAAATTCAGAAAGCATTTAAAAAAGAAAGTGCTACAGATGCACTTTGAACAGAAAAGTGATGTATTTTGTTTAGCAAAAAACTCAAATGCCTACATCAACGAGAGGGACTTTAATTCGCTCTGGAAATCTGTGGGAACCAGAACTGATGCACACCATCAACTAGAGAGATGGTAATAATCACAGATTTTATTCTTATAGTCACAACATGGGGGGAAATAGATTCATTTTAATACTACAGGCTCCAATAACAAGTCAAGCTGTCAAACTTTTGGGAATGAGATCAGGCAGGTTGGCTGGTGCTGACTGGCCGATAAAACAGCTCGATTAGAAGGCGCCGAACTAAACACTTTACACTAGTGACTAATAAGCAATAGGCTTCATAATCACACCATCTGAATGTGTAAATTTTATATTTCAGACAGACACTATTAGTACATAATCGTATTTGTTATTGGTTCTTTCTATACATAATATTTACCCACAATGCTGTTCAGTCTGGGACAATGACTAATATACATTTTAGCAATGTGGCCATTTTGGGAATTTCCCCAGGAGGTGAATCATGTCTGACAAACTTACAAGGAAACACACTCTCCTGATATGATTTGACCAGTGAACAGACTGAGCAGCTCGCAGACGGCTGACACAGACCGCCGACTCGGAGGGGCCGGGGACCCTGATCGTACGTCTTCAAACAGCGTGGCGGGAACCGGAGCTTCTGGAGGAAAAGCCACATGCCGCAAGGAGAACGTGCAAACTGCATACACACAGCGGAGGCAGCATTCAACCTCTGCTACTAGCATTATAGCTAATTAACGATATAGCACAGCATGTTTCTCCAGGATAATGACGAATTTTTAAACTAAGCTAACTGTGAGTTGAAACCAGCAATAATTTTTAACACCCACAGTATATATTCATGGTTATCACCGTACTAAATCTCATTAAGAACATTTTCTAAACCCTGCCGTATCGTTATATTTATATCTGAGAACAGGCCCCATTGGTTCCTAATCCCGCATTTCCGTCATCCCCGGTGTCACAGCAACGTAAATAGTACTCTACCTGAGAAGCACTCTCTGGGAGCTCATGCACTGGCCACGATGCTCAAAAGAGCTTCAGATGGTATAAACCCAGGGGGTTTAGGTGGGGGGCTGGCAGACCACTTTACAAAAAAAATACCCACAATGCATCTTGGCACATGCTTCAAGTGAATGGCCGAAAACACCAGATACCTGTGATGATCTTACAGACAGAACTCATATAAATATTATATTCATCAACTGCTCAATTTAAGCTTCTCGTTCGTTAGTTATTCAGCTAATTACCAGCAGGGGATTTGATCCATTTCAATACATCTCCCACCAGGGGTACAGATAGAGATTTTGGGCCCCATGGAAGCATATGACACTAGGCCCCCCAACCCAGAACAATCCAATTATGTTACAATTTTTTTTAGGGCCCCTGTCACTTGGGGGCCCTTTGAATCATCCTAACTGCCCTCCTCCCCCCCGCTACAGGACCCTTTGCCTCCCAGGACTAAGAGTCTAGAGATCAAAATGCCCAACAGGTGTGACATCATTATGGTGGATATCGGTAAACTGGGACAATTTTTTAAAGTAGACTTGTTCTCTTACTTAAAAAGATATTACACATTATAAAAATTTATAAGCATGAAAGTATTATTGAAAGCTCAAGAACTGAGCTTAAGTTAATAGTCACCCAAATGAAGATTGGGTGTGGGGTTAGGTTTAGGGTTAGGGTTGGGGGGGGCGAACAGTGACTCACAGTAACCGCAGCGCGTGCCACCCTCGAAGACGAAGCCGTTGGGCACGGCACCATAGCGCCGCAGGTCCGAGAGCTTCCACTGGCCGACGACGGCGGGGGGCAGGTCCCGGGCCAGAACCAGCAGGTTGTTACACAGGTGCAGAGTGGCGGGGCCGCTTTCCAGCCTGGTACCGGCCAGCACGCCCACGGCGAACCTGTGAACTGGGAGCAAGAGAGGCGACTGAGCGGGTCGACCGTCCGGCCTGTTCCCGGGGGGCAAGAGCAGGCAGGCCTTTATAAAGATCTCATCAGCCGCCGGGGACAGAGGCTGGGGGGGCCGGGGGGCCTGTCCGGCTGCACGTCTCATCGCTGCTGTTCCTGCCTCAAATTTTCACCACAAAGGCAAAGCAGCCTTGCCAGTGTCCCGCTGAGAATGGGGGGGGGGGCGGCCTAGGAGGCCACAACAAAGCCATGTGCGGCCATGTATGACAACAGCCTCCGGCGGCAGGCCGATTAAATGGATTTACAGCCAAAATGCCACTGGTCCGCATCCCAAGAGGCAACTGGCACGCCTCTCAAAAATAAGCTATAAAAATGGCCAGGAAGTCACCTCGGTTAAAACTTACCAATCACGCAGCAGCAACCTAGTATATATTTACATAGGTGCAGCGACAGGACAGGCAGGGCAGGCGATGGCCTGGGGCCCCGAGCTGGGACTGGGGGGCCCCCGAGGGCGGCCGAAAACATGGCGCATTGCAACGACAAATCTGCTTTATTTGCATATTCTGTTTGTGAAAATAAAGGAATTGTCTTTATTAATTTCACTTTTTTATATTATCAATTTACACTTCACAGTAAAATAGAGATAATGTTACCATGCTGGGGGAGGGGTAATTCGAGGCCCCCACAGTCCTTGGAATCGCCTCTGTATATTTATATTCCCATAGGATCAGTGGTCCACCGGGACCTGACGCAGTTACCACCAGGGACCTAAAAAGATAGGCAGCTATACACGTCGTGCGGCTAAATCAATGCCACGCGGGTGAGATTAAAAGGTGCAGCGTGTAACGGAGTCACTTAAAGTCATTAGTCATTTAAAATGAGTAATTCCAGAGCCCCCACCACCCCAGTTACTCTAAAAATATTGGCTCGATACTATCTTTTTAAAATGAAAAAGGAATCAGGCAGTGGCAGGGGCAGCCGTGTAAATTCCGCAGCTCCGTCGGGGCCTCCGCGCCAAAGACGCCGACCCTCATCCATCAGCCGCAAACAGGCACACAGAAGACACCTGAGACGTGCCGGACGGTCGGCGCTAATAATGACAATTAGAACCCGTCCCGGTCTGCCGGGCTTGGGCCGTCACCGCTCCCGGCAGGAGACACAGGATATAAGAGGGACTGAGAGGTAGGCGGAGACCCTCGCGGTCTGGACACCCAATCCACAGGGCCGCTGGTAAGCCCCCCCCCCCCTCAGGCCTAGCCCCCACAAGACAACTCTCCGTAATAAGCTGTCAGACACAAATGTGAGCAGTTTCACGATTGTTACTGAAGTCTAACCGCAGAAAATATAAACTTCACAGTCGGAAACACCGCCCCCTGGTGGGAAGGGGGTGTATTACATCATTCTTATCGCAAGGCATTCAGCAGCGAGACCCGAGAAGAGGCACACACGTACGGCACGGGGTGTACAGACAGAGCCACGCATTACAGGTCCCAGTGCTGGGGAGGGCGGGGGGGGTTGGTAAAAGTGACTTGCGGAAAACGACATCCATGAGGCCGTGCCAACCGCGGGCGACACGCGACCCTTCGATATTTTTCACCATCTGCCCTCCCTACTGCAAATATTTTATACACTTCTTGGCATGCTGGGGGATTGTAGATGTAAAAAAAAAAAAAATAAGTAAAAATACACCCCCACCGCCCCGGGAAACGTAATGGGCCAGCATTATTTTCAGGGCTTATTTTTACCCTATGCGGCCGGTATCGCATAGCAAAGCCGGGATAAACACCTCACCCCCCGCAAAGAGGACACAACAGGAGCAGCTGGAAGGCACAGACTCTGAGCCCGGGGGGGGAGGTGTCGGGGCCCGCGTTCCGGCGTTACCTTCCCCCAGGCTGTAGCGGATGCGGGTGTCCCAGGCCAGCAGGGCCTCCTTGCTGTCGAAGCCCAGCATGACGGCCTGGCTGAGGGTGACGATGGCCAGCGTGTAGCTGACGCCGTCGTAAGGCGACCCCGGCTCCAGGCCGCAGATGTCCTCCAGCGTCACGCTGCTCCGCTCCCTGTGACCCTTGGTTTTATCTGACCAGTCTTTGTACACCAGCAGCACCAGGCAGTCTGGAGAATCAGAAACATCAAAGCCCTTACAGCCTTTCCATCACGCCGGCTCTGGAAAACTAAAAATAAAATTAGAAAAAAAACATGGTAACACTTAAAGCGGTCGTGTATAATACACTATAGATACCTTCATAACACATTATAGCCATGCTTATTATGCATTATGAAGGTTCTGTGACACTCTCATCTATAATGCAATATAGATTCCTTCATTCTGTAATGCATTATAATGCATTAATAAAGTACTATAAACATGTCTATAAATATTTATAAAAAGGAATAACAGCCATAGTTATTATGCATTATGAATGCTCTATGAAGCTCTCATCTATAATGCACTATGGATACTTTCATAATGCAGTACGAAGCATCCTTAATTCTTACACTGACCATTATAATATATTATGAAGGTATCTATGGCGCATTACAGTTGAGACTTTCATTGAAGCTTATGAAGCATTATAATCAATGCTATAATGCCTTAAGACTGTCAATAGAAGATGCTGTAATGCTTTATTAATTCTTATAATGACCGTTATAGTGCATTATCTAGGTATCTATATTGCATTATACCCGATAAGGTATCTATAGTGCATTATGATGATTGCTTTAAGTAAAATGTTACCACATACATTTTTCATTCATTTTACATCCTATAAAATCAGTGTCACACTTTTGTGTATATGTTTCACCAAGCATTAAAGATGGATATTCTACAAGAGTATTTAACCAGGAAACATTAAGTTACAGATCTTAAGTTCATGACATCTTACATTTACCCCAAAGCCCTTCACACATACAGCCATGGCAGTGACTCAAACCGAAGTCCCCGAAGCAGGAGGCAACAGTGCTAACCACTGCACCAGCATCCCAGTGCCCCAACAGTGCTAACCACTGCACCAGCATCCCAGTGCCCCAACAGTGCTAACCACTGCAC